CTACTTAAGGTGTATAATGGCATACCGCATACTTATTTTTTTTGAGAATGCCAAATAACTATACACGAGAGACTGAAAATCTAAGAATGTTAAGAAGCGTGTCTTAAGCGAAGAAAAAAAAGAAACCTAAAAAAGCAAAGAAGACTAATAAAAAGAATAGAACAAGTGATGAAGAAGATGCAGAAAATAATTGCTTTTATTTGGTTTGCCTTGAAGCCTATGCAGACAGCAGATCGAATGATTAGTGGGTCCAATGCCTGGAATGCAAAGGCTAGGCACACGTAGATTGTACTGGGGACGAGCTGCATTACGTTTGGCATAATTGTGAATCTGATTAGATTAAGATTTTATACTGATTATAACAATAATATGATTGATCTCAAAGCGATACCATATTTAGTTAATGAAAATATTATAATTACTTGTTATGAGAATATTAATACTATGTTGTTTTAGTTGGTAGGTATTAAAAGATGATTAATCAAATCAAATCAAATCAATCTTTATTGTTGATCGCAGGTTATATAAAGATATTGGATGCAAGGACTGAATGGTTACACCGTGATCTGCCTAAAAGGCATACAATATTAGTAGGTTAGTAATTGCCAACTAATCTAATCAATAACATGTTATGTCAAAAATTCAATTAATTCATTAAATATTTATACATTTACAAAGTACTGTCAGCTAGATACTCGTTTACACTATAATATGCTTTAGCTACTAATAATTTACAAAGTTTTCTTTTAAAAACATTACAATGATCTAGATTACATATTGTTTTTGGAATTTTATCAAAAATTTTTGGAGCCATACAAAAGATACTTTTTTTTCAACAGAGCTGTCTTAGAGGGTATCGTACACAATTTGTCTCGATAACGCAATCTCATCTTATTTTCAAATAGTTGTTGATTCTGTTTGACAAAAATACCAACTTCGAATATATAGATTGATGGCAGGCTCATAATATTTAGTTTAATAAAATATGGCCTACAGGTATCCCTGCTCTGTAAATGACATATGCTCCTAACACATTTTTTCTGGGCTCTAAAGGCAGTTAAAGAATCAGTCGAATATCCCCAAAATATAATGCCGTATCGAACAGTAGAAACTACGTACGCGTGATAAGCTGTAAGGACCGTGCACTGATTCGCGATCCTACTAAGTTTGTACAGTGCACAAGAATACTGGGACAACTTTTTGAAAACATGTTCAATGTGTGTTTTCCAAGTCAAATTTATTATTATAGTACTGATTAAAGTACTGATTTGATAAAAAAAACGTGCTTGATTTATTTATGTCGTATGTAATGGTATTTTTATATCTTATAGCTTAAATATAATGATGTCACAACTTACCTCGGTACCTGTCACAACTTACCTCGGTGGTAGGAGAGTTGTGACAAGGGGAGTAGACTTAAATTTTGTTATTTTTTTCAGAAACTATTAAACTTTAATTCATTTTACTGATGGTTTTGAGAACAGAAGGAATGGCTCTAAATTAATTCATATGAGTCATAGTGGAATGTTTCTTAAGCGAGATAGAGCCCCTAGGTCTCCCCTATATCAACTATCTTATACAAATATTTCTTTGGTTTTACTAAGAATTTTACTGTAACAATAATTTGCGAAATACGAAGTTGGGGGACCCGTTTTCAAAATAACGTTATTGATTTGTTTCTTACCTGGTCAAAATTTTTTATGACTCTTTAGGAGTCCGGTTTGGTTTTTCGAAAAGGCAAATTATGTAAGAAAACAAAGGAGGCGTAAACTAACATTTCTAGTTTACAAAAAAAAACTACTCATGAAAATCTGATCAAATTTCAACGGAAACCCCTTGGAAATATATTCTATCAAACTAAATAACAAACATTTAATAAAATTCACTACGGATTGAGATATCACGGTATGATATAAAAAATCTTTTGAATATTTTTATAAATTTCTTTTTTAAGTCTTTTAAAAATAAAGTCAACAGTTTAACTTCAGATTGTCAAAACATCTCTGAAATCAGTTCAGAAACATTAATTCCCGGTTCATCGTCACATGCCAACCAATTTACTGTTGGATTTTATGATATTACTTAGCCCGAGTAAAGCGCGCTCCGTGAGTGATTAGCCCAATTTAAGTCCCTCAGTATTTGCTAACACACATTAAATGTCGTCTTACGTTAGCAAAGAGCTATGATTAATTAGATTATTCATCACAATATTGTAGAGTTAGCAAGCAGTACTTTAAATCAAATAATAAGGTTTGGAATAAACACTGTTCCGGAGTATGTGTATAATTAGAGTGAAATTAATCTTCAACGTACTTGAAAATAACTCTTTCAGGAATCTATCAGATACTGGTATTTTTTGAAAACATTTATTAATCATCATCATCATCATCAGCCCTTTTACGTCCCCACTGCAGGGGCTCAGGCCTTCCTTATGGATGGTTAAGGAGGATGGGCCATGACCCTCCATGCTGGCCCAGTGCGGATTGGAGGGTATTAACGACTGCAAATGCAGCAGGGACCAATGGCTTAACGTGCCTTCCAAAGCACAAAGTAGCTCGAGATAATAATTTTTTGGTCACCCATCCCGTGACCGACCCTTGCGAAAGTTGCTTAACGACAACGATCGCTGGCCGCGGCGCTTATCTACTCGATTTATTTATAAATTTATTTATAAATCGAGTAGCTCGGTGGCGTAAAGATATATTTGTAATCAGTTCGAATGTAATAAATATTATTTTAACTTAAAATTAATTAGCTTAAAATACTTATAATAGGATATAATCTACGTCCCGATTTGCCAAGTATGCTACGTAATATTTAATGTTAAGGCAGCCTTTGACTAGCAGTATGAAAATGATACATTATTTTTAAATTCTAAGAAATTTAATTTAATTTTGCCAAAATAGAACTCTTTTATGTCAAAATTCCATCCAATTACATCGAGTACAGTCTAGTGGAGCCCATTATAATATTTCAAGTGAAATATTCTTGGTATGAGATTATAAAAAAGATCACAAGAAAGATCGATATCGAATTCATTGTTTAGTTAAAATGCATGATAGACAAATACGTCCACATTTCAACCAAAAAAACAGTATTAATTAAATTAATATTAGTTTCTATAAAACACTCTTAAAACGCCTAAGGTTTTCCATTTTCGCATATGAATTTCAAAAGAAACATCTTACCTATTTGCAAGTCAAACTGTAACCGATTCCAGGATGAGGGTTAAAAGTGAATATTCGAATCGGTGGTTTACTTAACTAAATTAAACTTGGGATAGCAGACCTTTAGTCGGCCCAACAATACTCGTAGGATAGTGGAAAGTTCCCTGAGGTAGGATCACAAACTCACTGGTCTTAATTAAACTCCTGGATATTGTTTTATAAAATTTTAAAGAATACAGCACTGACAGTATTCTTTGTTAAATTAAATGCGTTAAAAGTATTTTAAAATACCTAGAAACCTGATAACAATAAAATCAAAACATTAAATATGCACGCCCGATCCCATTCGATATAAGTATAAAGAAAACTTATTAAATACATATAAGTCTTTGCTTAATATTTTAATATGAATTTATAATACATTGAGTACAAACTTAGCGTTTATTAATAACACTATTCATGTTTATTTTTTATTAACAAGAGTCAATAAGACTACCACACTGAATTTTAATTGTATGATGAAATACTAATCATACTTTATTAAGTTGTAAAATAAGCAACAGGCTCATAAATCACTTCGACAGCTCGGTGCAAATTGTTCATATAGGTATCAATCAGTCCTAATTTGTAGAATAAATTATCATCAATAATATCAAAGATTCATGAAAGGATGATAATTATTATGATATTTTTTTATATTTTTTCTTATATTTCACACGTACTACTCATTCAATAAAACAATTTTGAATGGGTAAGGAAAACAATGTTTAGAGTCCATTTCTCAAATTCTGTAATAGTTTTTAGTTGATATATTTTATGATGTCAAGTAGCTCCTGAGCTTATGTTTAAATTTATATATATTTATATAGTTGAGAAGTCGAGTAACCTGCTGCTCACAAGCTACATACAACTTATTTGATGTAAAGTCTCTGCACTAAAGTTTCATTTTCAAAAAATTGTTATTTTAGTATCGGAATCCTTTAAATATGATATTAGAGCCATAGTTCAGTACCCATATTATAATACGATTGAGATACATTGACTATGCTTAAGTGGCAGATATTCAAAGTCATTAAATTGAAATAAAATTTCAAGTACAAAATTATTCATATTAAAACGAAATCTTTCAGTGATTGATTCTTTCAAAATTGACAAATTTTGTAAATAAGCTTTTAATTCTTCTATCTAATGAAGGATTGCCGACTCCAATTCAATGTTGAAGTGATAAAAATTGTTAGTGTAAACACCATGCGATTATTCCGTACAATTTTGTTTTTCTATTCGCAACTGCTTTCTATTTTTTATTATAATAAAGTTAAATACCTTTCGCTTTACTTTCTTCTTTCAGAATTGGCAGATTTAACAAAACACTGCTTAAAATGCATCACTGGAAAATTGGACTGCATCCAAAACGTCCGTCGCCAAAGGCAGACATTTAGTCTGTAGCTTTATATTATACTGATATGGTCTGTGAAAGGCGTGGATCGCCTTCAAAGTTTTGTTTTAAGAATTCATATCTGTATACTTTAGGAAAATCAAAACTCTGATGTTTAAATTTACATACGGTTATATAATTTTAAATTTGTGGGCGTTGTTTATAAATAATATGATTTTTATATAAATTTACGGACTATTTGCATGTAAGATTTGCATAGCCTTGACAAGTCTTTAACTCAATGAACAACCATAATTGTTCCCTGGAAAAGAAACAAAATATCAGCTTAGGTATCACATTTCCATTAGGGCAATAATTGATTTGATAATACAATTATTCAAGAAAAACGTAGCTATAATAAATAAAGATTATTGCATAGATAGAAGCTAAATTACATTTTAAATTTGCAGGGTAAAATTTATTCCATTTATTACGCTAGAAAAGGTCAAGAGTGGAAAACCATTACTTCTGAAACTTTCGTTACTCTTCTTAATCGTTCCACGATTTCTAGATTTGCTCTTATAAGTCTTCGAGTACCGTTTCTTTTTCAATACGTTCCTTAAGCTATCATCATGATCCCTATCTGCCATATTTAAGACTCTATTTTGATGTGTTGTGTTTGGGCCAAGTTCTTGTTTTGGATTTTGAAGTTTATTTAATACGTTTCTTATATTTAGGAAATCCACGTAATCGTCTAGTGTATCTGTTTTTGATAACAATTTTTCAATTTCGTCCAAAGGGGTTTCTTTATATTTTTTTTCTTTTGAAGTATAGTTTAGCGTAACTTGTTCTGATTTAATAGCACTATTATTTTCAGTATTGGAAGTATATGTTTTTGATAATGACTTTTCAATTTCTTTCAAAGTGATTTCTTTATTATTTGTCATATTCGTTGTGTACTTAAGTGTTTCTTGTTTTGTTACATGATCATTATTGTTACTATTTGGAGGATACGTTTTCGATGGGGAAATATCAAATTTATCTACAGTTATATCTTTATCATATTTGTCTCTTGTAGTATAATTAACAGTTATATTATTATCTTTAAAATTATAATTTTTTGTTGGTTTATCTTGTCCATTATAATCGCTTGTATAATTTCCGTAATCTTTTACTTTTTCATTCAATTCAGTGATATTATCTTGGTTTAAAACCCATATTATTTCTGAACTGACATTTTTATTATTTTCTTTAATTCCCAGGTTACCTGTACTTGAAAAGTCTGGTGTCAACAATTCTTTGGACTGTAGTTGTTTATCATATTTGCCTTTTACTTCCTTATTATTAAAATCTTCTTTTATGTAGGACACATTATTTATGTGAGTTATATCAAATACCTTTGGTGATGTTTTATTATCACTATTACGAGTTGTCGTCAACGAATCGAATGAATTTGCTTTTTGTGCTCCTCCGCTTGGTAATAATGTCAAATTGAGTAGTTTTATTTCTATGGCTCTACTACTTTGTATCGAAGATATTATAAATATAATATTAGTCAGTGTATTTGCAAGTAATGCCATGTCCTGTAAAAATAAATATGAAGAATTTAATAACGTAAGGTAACAAGAAATTTATATCAGTAGTTACTTCTAATTTTATTTTGTAGGATGGTGTGACCAAATAGCCTACATTAATCAAATTAAAATTCATTTTGACCGAACGTGTATTTTTAATCATGGTTATTAATTAAAATGTAGTTAATAAAGGAACCGAAACTATCACCGGGCTGGCTTAAAATTCACCGAGCTTGATATAATCTGATGTTGTTTTTAAAAGTGTTTTATGAGGAATTGAGAATTATTATTTTCATACTAATTAATATCCAAATTATAGTTTTGAAACTTAATTTTTGTTAAGTCTTGCTACTTTGCAATATTTTTTAATCTTATTTTCATTAAAATAAGGGCTAGCGCGTTTGAGTTTACCACTAGAGACGTTCGTGAAGCGTGAGGTCTTCGAATTGTCTTACATTATACTTTTTCGGTGAACCACGCGCTTTAATCTTTAAATAAACGAATTTTGCACTCATTTTGGAGTACTAGATATTCATTACTTTAGTAATTATGAATTACGGGTCAATGAACATCAGTGCTTTAACAACGGAGCAAAATTTAAGCTATCAATGCGGTGCATAAGTACTGACCAAAAAGTATTATTATAAAAATATTTACAAATTTATTGGCCGAGAACTCAACTATATGCATGTCTAATAGTAATAAAACTTTATAGGGAGTAGTTTAGTGATTTACAGAAAACCAATATGAATTTTATACTTTATCGTGTACCATTTATTGATATTGCTTTTCTCTTTTTTTCTTATTTTTCTCCTTTTGTTCTGTTAGTACATTTTTAGATTTTATCCTCGTTTCACGCGATCACTCAAAGGTCATGTTTGAGTTCAGCTAGCCTTTTATACATATATAAATGTTCCCAAAATGTTGTTAGATGAGAAAACCTTTATGTATACTAAAGTATAAAATCATCACATAAATAAAATAAACTTTATAGTTGTATGCTTACCGTCGATGCGGGTTGTAAAATACGCCCTGTAGCAGGGACCACCTTTTGTATATAAGGTTATACTCACTTGAAGCTGCTTACCCCAAAAACTTTGAGCCGCCCTTTTTAATAATACTATATAGGTTTACTTATAACTTAAATTAAGACAAAAATGATAATTTTCCATAAGTAGATATCCCTACACGTAACACCAGACTTTATCGGTAGCCCAAATTATTATAAACTCAGACATTTCATATCGTGCATAAAGTTTTATGAAAAGCGGTTGTAATATTATTAGTTATAAAAAATATTATGACTCATCCATACTTCTGAAGTCACGTTAAGCCATTAGTTACTGTAAATTCGAACTTATACGAGACGGTAAATCTTCGATTGCCAATTCGCTCAAAGTTGATGACCGAATGTACGGTTTAAATTTTGAGTGACACTTGTTTCGATAAACATTAGGTGTGTCCGTGTCATTCACACTCAGCTTTGAGATTTAGATTTGTGCAACAGAATCGCTACCAATACCTTCTTATTTATATTACTAAATATTATGCAATTGATAAAAAAAAACGTACACTTCAACGGCAAATTATCTTTGCACTCAATTTTTCCTAATATATCTTGTGTAAATTACAGCCATATAAATATTATGCAATGGATCCTTTGATATCAATGGTATTCAAAGTTCTTTATATTGCGAGTGGCTTATTGATGTCTACACTTCATGCCGTTCACTCTGAGTCGCATGCAGGCTGTACTGCAGTGAGCAGCACTAATGAGAAGCTGAAAAGCAACGGTGCTGATTACGAAGCATCACGTCTCAACGCTAGGGCTGTCAGAGACACTGAAAAAGGAATCACTTGAGACTGAATAATTTAAAAACAAATAATTACTTCTAAATTTGATTTTAATGAAACTGGTGATTCCTCAATCAAAAATATCATTTTACATTATTTTGTGAGTGCATCAACCGCATTGATAGCTTGTGTTTTTCAAGCTATCAATGCGGTGCAAAAGTACTGACCAAAAAGTATTATTATAAATATATTTACAAACTTATTGGCCGAGAACTCAACTATATGCATGTCTAAAAGTAATGATACTTTATAGTGAGTTATAGAGAATCAATATGAAGCTTTTTCTTCGTCGTATACCCTTTTATTGATATTGCTTTCCTCTTGTTTTCTTATTTTTCTCCTTTTGTTCTGTTAGTACACTTTTTGACTTTATCCTCGTTTCACACGATCACTCAAAGGTCACGTTTGAATTCAGCTAGCCTTTTATACATACATATGTGTACGCTAAAGTATAAAATAATAACATAAATAAAATAAACTCTATAGTTGTATGCTTACCGTCGATGCGGGTTGTAAAATACGCCCTGTAAAAGGGACCACCTTTTGTGCATAAGGTTCTACTCACTTGCAGCTGCTTACCCCAAAATTTTTTGACCCGCCCTTTTTAATAATACTAAATTAGGTTTATTTATAACTTAAATAAATTAAGCCAAAAACGATAATTTTCCATAAGTAGACATCCCTACACGTACACCAGACTTTAATCAGAACCAGCGAAAGTAATGAGCAACACCTGAATAAAATATTTCCATAACCATAATCTGCGTGACGGATTAATTTGATAAGGTACTCTAAGTAACGTAATTCACAATGTGACTTAAATAATAAGAGAGTGTCTAAAGAGCTAGATAACAACTATATAGTGCTTGGGGATACTAGTATAGTTCTCCTTGAACATATAAAATTCTCCTTTCGGATTTTGAATGAATTCAAAATACGCTATCTTTTATTTTTTAGGTAAAATAATCATAGATGATATTATAATCTTAATGTTTCGGTGATATCTGGTGAAAAGCGTTTTTTGAAATGAGAACACCTCCGTCCATTAAATTGTGAATAAAAAAGAATGTAAAAAATCGGAAATATTCGTCGAACATCAGTACAGAGCTTAAATACCTCCTGGTGGTAATTAATATAAGATCCAATCACTCTTGCAAATGCTCGATAAGGGAACGAAATACGTGTAGATTAGTAATTATTGGTGGTTGCGGAACCTCTTGATGCTTGTTCATGTGAATTTGTTTGCGGGACACAACAGGTCTGGCAAATATTAACTGTGTGTCCAAGTCCCTGAATATCATAGTTGCGTAGCTATAGCAATGCACTTCTGTAAGATAACGCCTGATTCTAACAAATATATACTAATATTAAAAGTTTTGAAATTTGTTTAATTCTTTGTTTGTAGGGGGTAATTTTCAAAAATACTGTCCGGTTAGGACAATTCTGTCACCTCCGGGAAGATACTCTTGTATATACGAGTAAATGTATCATTACTCGTATATACAAGTGCTATAGATTGTATACAGGGGCGTAGTCGCGGGAAAACAGCTAGTACTTAAATAAATTGATGAATCATAATTATGTATTCAAAAGACTCTGATGTTCATTCGTGAAATTTTTTGACTATATTAAAATTCTGCTGATAAAATATAGTCGAGCGAAGCGATGGTTGGCTCATGTATCTTACTCTTGGAACAGGTGTTGTTTGTAGATGTAGGAGTACTACTTAAATTTATATTTCCATCACGGCTGCCAGTAGAATGAAATTATTTTATTCTGTGTAGTGTCTTACATTAAGAAGTTGGGATGTTTTACCTACCTTTTTTGCAAAGTTTTAAGAGAACTTATGACTTCTATCTCTTACTTATTAAAAATTTGCGCTCGTTGACATTTTATCATTTGACTTCGACGTATCGGGTTAAGAAACTATAGTGAATCGAAACTATAATGTACACTTCTTACAGTTTCTGATGTTCAAATTCCCTTCTTTAGAACAATACAACAAGACTTATGCGCCGATTGAAATACGGCTTATATTATTTTGGCCCGGAGCCGCAAAGCAGATAGATCTGATTTCGTAACTGCTCAAAATGTCATTAACGTAGATAAGAATAATAGACGTCTATATTAATATTATAAAGAGAATAGATTTGTTTTTATGTTTGCATTGAATAGGTTTCGAAGTTACTGTACCGATTACGTAAATTCTTTCACCTACGGCATGATATATTTACTATATGACTATATTTACGCTGGTGAAATTGCTAGAAGACAGCTAGTATATTAAGAAATAAAAGACTTGTATTTCACTATATATCTTTATTCTAAGAAGAAATTCTACTGTTACTATTATACTACAATATTCATATAAATTCTAAAAGGCTACGTCCGAATTACAACACCAGAATTACATGGTGGAGGAATTTGTAATAGTAATTTCAGATATTGCTTTTAGGAGACCCAAAAGAATATTAAGTCACTAAGTAACGAAGGTGGGAGAATACGAATGAATGAATTAACTTTGAAGTTAAAGAGTTTGTCATATGTCCACCTTAGTCGGGAATTCACAGTGTTGTATTTAGTACAATTAGCGAAAATTTGAATTTGAAAAGATTGAATTAATAAGTGTTTAAAACTTTTGATCATTGGGACTATCTTCGGTGTTCTTAGTAGGAAAATAGTGGAATTGGTATCCAGCATAGAATTTTGCATAGCATTTAACTATGATCAAGAAACTCAGATTACCTTTTCATACAAAATTCCCTATCCATTTGCATAAAATGTTAAGTTTTATTATAACTTGGCAATATACATATATTGTATACCAAAAAAGCAAATAGAGAATGCTTTATACTTTTATAGGATACTAGTTGTTTTCCTGCGACTTCACCCATAAAATTGTAGCCTATGTCAACCGTGTATGATGTAGCTATCCGAAGGTGAAAGAATATTTAAAATGGCCTAGTAGTTTCAGAGCCAGTAAGATGCAAATAAACAAACAATCAAATCTTTCCTCTTTATAATATTAGTAATTAAGTATTGATCAAAGTGTAAAGCGAAAACGAATATGCCATAGTTTATTTAGAATAAAACATTAAGCAAAATAAAGTATTCTCTTCAAAAAATGCAAAACGAGTCAAGATTCTCAGTAT